GTTTTCTGCCTCTGCCTAACTGTGACACTGAAGATACCAAGCGAGAAGACACTCCCCACTGGGGGAGTCAATGCAAGATAGAAGAAGAAGTTACCCTCCAACCGGAGGGCCCAAGAGAGAAGATAGAAGAATGAAGAAGACGAACGACACCCCTGCCCCGGGGGCCACCGCCGGGTCACCATCTGGAGAAGACCCGGGCCGGAAGTACCGGCAAATCTCTAATGAATGAATCAGTCAAGAGATTTAAGTTTTAATATTAGTATTTATAGTATCATAATATCGTGTATATATATATATATATATATATATATATATATATATATAATATATATATTATATATATATAATATATATATATATATATATATGTCGTGCCGAATAGGCAGAACTTGCGATCTTGTGTATGCAATAATTTCGCCAAAATCATTCTGAACCTAACGAAAAAAATATATTTCACTGTGTTTGTTTAGTATTAAGTTATTGTAAACAAATCTAAAATATATTTAGTTGGGTTAGGCAAAATAAATTTCTCTTGTTATAATAAGGTTAAGTAAGTTTTCTAAGATTCTTTTGGTGCAAAATTAAAAATTTTTACATTAACATTAATGAAAAATGTATATCTTTAAACGTATAAAAGAAAATTTTAGAAAGGACTTAATTTTAAATGAGTTCTTGCTAATTCACCAGTTTTACATATTCGGCACGACATATATATACACACACAAACATGAATACAATATTATTACATATCAAAGATAATGACTCTCCTTCAGCTCCTCTGAAGTTGGATGCGAGTCAAGTATGCAGTAAACATTTTCCCTTTGTATGGCCAAGCTGAGACGCTGGAATATGAAAGTGGCCGCCATATGTAGACAGAAACAGCATCATTCTCATCCGAGATTTTCTGAGGAAGATCTTAAACTGAGATCGAAATATACTGTCTCTTTTTACGTGGTATTTCTGTCTCCATGTGAATTTCCTCAATTCACTGAAAAATGCCCATTATTCTTTTATGTTTTGTATATTAAAAGAACTTAATAAATTAAAACAATGTATATGTACTATCTCAATATTTTGTTTTTGATGGCACTGGTATAGTTGGAAATAAATGGTATAAAATACCGACACAATGGCAATATAAACACAAATGCACAAATGCAGTATAATGTGATCCTTTATTGACTACGTTTCGCCCACACAGTGGGCTTTTTCAAGTCACAAACAGAACTACCTGGGGTGGAAGGAACGCGAGTATTTATAGTCCGGCTGAGGTCAGGTGAAGAATGCTGCATCTGATGATGTACCGAGTGGGGTTATAGAGTCTAAAAACTTGGGTAGCTTGGAAAGGAGATTGGATAAGTTTGTGAGCAGACCTTCTACAGTGTTCTTATGTGGGATAGCGATGAAGAAGTTTCTTGGCAAGTGGTTCAGCTATGTTATAGAAGCCACTATTCTGGTTGAAGTTGTCGGATTAGAAATGAGTGATGATTCCAGGATTCTTGGGTATTGAGTGTTGTCTTCTGTGGCGAAAAGTCTTGAGTTTCTGTAGTTTATCAAGTGGTTGTGTGAATTTTACGGTGTTGGTAGCGAGGCATTCCTTGTGTCGTCAGACCTGCTTGCGTTTTGGTGTTCTGAAATACGTGTTTGGGGGTCCCTTGATGTTTCGCCCCACGTAAAACTTGTTGCAGTCATTACAAGGGATTATGTTACCCCTGCAGAGGATTGGAGGCTTGTCCTGCAAATGCTGGTGATGTCCTTGATGGTCGTGGTTGTGGAGGTAGATACTTGGAATGATGTTTTGGCAAAAATGTTGGAAACATGTTTGGCAATGGATTTGGTGGGAAGGACTATGTATCTCTTCCCTCGGCAGTGTCTTCTCTGGTGTGTTGAAGATGTTTAATGCTCGCCGTCTGCAGTCTCTGATGAAGTGACGAGGATAGTGGGTTTAGAAAATATTTGTTCATTTTATAGTGCATTTCCTCAAGGAACTCGTTGCGCAGTCTGAGTGCACGCAGGAAGAGCCTATAATTACACCACGTTTGGTTTTGGTGTCGTTGGTGAGAGTAGAAGTGGAGAAGATCGTTTTGGTTGGTGGGTTTTCGATAGACTTTAAAACGAAGTTCGTGGTCAGCTTTGCAGAGCAGGACATCAAGGAAAGGAAGAGTGTTGTCGACTTCTTTCAAGTGTGAACTGGATTGAAGGCTCGGGCCCGGTTGAGCTTGTCCCTTTGGGGAGCTTGAACGTTGAAGCGTTTAGGAGTTATGAGGAGAATGTCGTCAACATAACGGAGCCAGGTGACAGACGAAGGAATAATGGTGGAGAAACGTTCGGCTTCAGATGTTCCATGTAAGGTTTTGCCAGGCTGCATGAGTGGCGAACCCATGGGGAGTCCAAAAGTCTGCTGAAAGAGGTGATTTTCGAAATAGAAACACGTAAAGCCAACACATAGTTCAACAAGGTCGATGAAATCGCTGGCTGGAATGGGAAGATCAAGTGAATCGTCAATTTTTCTGCGCAAGAGATCGATGGCTTGTGTAGTAGGTACTTTGGTGAAAAGGGAAGTCACGTCAAGGCCTGGAAAGTTTCTTGTTCCTGATGTTGATGTTGCGAATGCGATTGAGAAGATCACCTGAGTGTTTGAGATGTGCTGGCACTATCAGTCCAGCACATCTCAAACACTCAGGTGATCTTCTCAATCGCATTCGCAACATCAACATCAGGAACAAGAAACTTCCAGCCTTGACGTGACTTCCCTATTCACCAAAGTACCTACTACACAAGCCATCGATCTCTTGCGCAGAAAAATTGACGATTCACTTGATCTTCCCATTCCAGCCAGCGATTTCATCGACCTTGTTGAACTATGTGTTGGCTTTACGTGTTTCTATTTCGAAAATCACCTCTTTCAGCAGACTTTTGGACTACCCATGGGTTCGCCACTCAGTGCAGTCCTGGCGAACCTATACATGGAACATCTAGAAGCCGAACGTTTCTCCACCATTATTCCTTCGTCTGTCACCTGGCTCCGTTATGTTGACGACATTCTCCTCATAACTCCTAAACGCTTCAACGTCAAGCTCTCCAAGACAAGCTCAACCAGGTCGAGCCTTCAATCCAGTTCACACTTGAAGAAGAAGTCGACAACACTCTTCCTTTCCTTGATGTCCTGCTCTGCAAAGCTGACCACGAACTTCGTTTTAAAGTCTATCGAAAACCCACCAACCAAAACGATCTTCTCCACTTCTACTCTCACCACGACACCAAAACCAAACGTGTGTAATTATAGGCTTCTTCCTGCGTGCAACTCAGAATCTGCAGCAACGAGTTCCTTGAGGAAGAATGCACTATAAATGAACAAATATTTTCTAAACTCCACTATCCTCGTCACTTCATCAGAGACTGCAGACGGCGAGCATTAAACATCTTCAACACACCCAGAGAAGACACTGCCGAGAAGAGATACATAGTCCTTCCCACCAACTCCATTGCCAAACATGTTTCCAACATTTTTGCCAAAACATCATTCCAAGTATCTACCTCCACAAACCACGACCATCAAGGACATCACCAGCAGTAGGCAGGACAAGCCTCCATCCTCTGCAGGGGTATACATAATCCCTTGTAATGACTGCAACAAGTTATACGTGGGCGAAACATCAAGGGACCTCCAAACACGTATTTCAGAACACCAATACGCAAGCAGGTCTGACGACACAAGGAATGCCTGCGTACAACACCGTAATTCACACAAACACTTGATAAACTACAGAAACTCAAGACTTATCGCACAGAAGACAACACTCAATACCGAAGAATCCTGGAATCATCACTCATTTCTATATCCGACAACTATCAACCAGAATAGTGGCTTCTATAACATAGCTGAACCACTTGCCAAGAAACTTCTTCATCGCTATCCCACATAAGAACACTGTAGAAGGTCTGCTCACAAACTTATCCAATCTCCTTTCCAAGCTACCCAAGTTTTTAGACTCTATAACCCCACTCGGTACATCATCAGATGCAGCATTCTTCACCTGACCTCAGCCGGACTATAAATACTCGCGTTCCTTCCACCCCAGGTAGTTCTGTTTGTGACTTGAAAAAGCCCACTGTGTGGGCGAAACGTAGTCAATAAAGGATCACATTATACTGCATTTGTGTTTATATTGCCACTGGTATAGTTACTGACTCTTAGCTAATACAGGTGTTGTAACTGACCTCTGAACTAATACAGGTGTAGTGACTGACCTCTGAACTAATACAGGTGTAGTGACTGACCTTGAACTAATACAGGTGTAGTGACTGACCTCTGAACTAATACAGGTGTAGTGACTGACCTCTGAACTAATACAGGTGTTGTAACTGACCTCTGAACTAATACAGGTGTAGTGACTGACCTCTGAACTAATACAGGTGTAGTGACTGACCTCTGAACTAATACAGGTGTAGTGACTGACCTCTGAACTAATACAGGTGAAGTGACTGACCTCTAAGCTAATACAGGTGTAGTGACTGACCCCTGAACTAATACAGATGTAGTGACTGACCTCTAAGCTAATACAGATGTAGTGACTGATCTCTGAACTAATACAGGTGTAGTGACTGACCTCTAAGCTAATACAGGTGTAGTGACTGACCTCTGAACTAATACAGATGTAGTGACTGACCTCTGAACTAATACAGGTGTAGTGACTGACCTCTGAACTAATACAGGTGTAGTGACTGACCTCTGAACTAATACAGATGTAGTGACTGACCTCTGAACTAATACAGGTGTAGTGACTGACCTCAGAGATATCACATTAGCAGTGACTGACCTCAGAGATATCACATTAGCAGTGACTGACCTCAGAGATATCACATTAGAAGTGATTGACCTCAGAGATATCACATTAGCAGTGACTGACCTCAGAGATATCACATTAGCAGTGACTGACCTCAGAGATATCACATTAGAAGTGATTGACCTCAGAGATATCACATTAGCAGTGACTGACCTCAGAGAGGCCCAGGAGGACCCTGACAGCAATGAGGGCGCCGCTGCTGGACCTGGCTGCCAAGGGTATGAAGAAAGTAATGCAGGAGGCTGTGACCAGTGCTCCACCAAACACAAGTCGGGCACCCACAAGCTCGGCCAGACGTCCACCTGGTGGAATGATACACAGCTGTCACGCAGGATATTGTCGCAGATTATTGATTACAAGCATTAAATAAAGAGTTAAACCTGTATGGATAATTCAGCACAAGTAGTTGTGAAGGACCACTTCTCCATGTGCTTCAAGTAGGATACAGTTCTTGCAGTGTAGAAGAAGTCGATATTTGATGGGCTACTTGGCCAAGAAGAGTTCATTTAACACAAGAAGGCAGTACAAAGCTGAGAAGTATTACTTATTTTTCATTCTAGTTCAGCTGTAGAAATTCTTTTATAGGATGTTAACTACAATATTGCACGAGGTGAAGATGTGCAATGTAAAGAGACTTACAGTGTTCAATCACTTGACTGATTTAGCGGTCCCGCAACACTGGCTGGTAAACACATTTGTTTTATTTCGTGAGAGTGATAAACCCCTAGCCTTTGAGAATGAGAAGCAAGTAGATTCGATTCAAAGTCATGACAACACATATTCCTTGGATCAAGAACCCATCACCTGCGTCGAGGCATCTCCCGTGAAGTTTTTTTTAATTTAAAAGCCATCAGGCGTAACTGAGCTTATAAAACCTGAACTTATTAAAGTTTTAAGCCTAACAGATGTCACTAATATGTAGACGAATGTAGCTTAAGTCATTATTATTATGTAGTACAACAGAGTACAGGTGAAACTAACTTAATGGTGGTGTTTAGTGTTTTGTTGTGATCCAGAATATTACTGGAACATGGACGACTGAATACTAACCGCTGATTAGCTAGGCAAGCGTTTTACCGCATGCCAGCTTCCTCTTGTAAAAATATGTATATGACTACTATTTTTCCCAAACGTAGTGTAAATAGAGAAAAAAGCCATATACCAAAACTGTAGAATCTGAACACAGTGACGGCGCTGTATAACCCTGGTGGTTTAGGGGTTAGTTTTGCACTGCTACCCATTATTGTAAATACATAATCTCAGAGTATTACTTGCAAAGAAATAAATAAATTTGATAAAACTACTACTAATAATAACACATATTGGAATAAAAATGTATATATGATTCACAATTATTTCATAAGCCTTTAAATTTGTAGACATTAAGTAAGGGAAGTAAGCCACAGAGCGACGCTTGTTTTTTGGACAGACTTTTCCCGGAGTTGCGCTCAGGGCCGGATTACCGCATAGGCAAACTAGGCATTTGCCTAGGGCCCCGCGCATTTGGGGGCCCCGCGCATTTGGGGGCCCCGGGTCCAAGGGGTTCAGGGCTCATCCAAGATGCGCACATGGTGCAAGTGCAAAGGGGTCCCTACCTAAAAAGTTCAAGTGTTTGGAGAGTTAAAATTGATTTTTAAAAATTAATCAAAACAAAAATAAATAATGAAATAAAATAAATAAAAATAACCTAACCATAGATGGCAGCACTCAACACGCCTTTGTTTACATCAGAAACAGCTGTGTTTTCCCGCTAATGGGTGAGTATGGGAGATTCCTCTCCAATTTTCTGTAGTTATATATGATATGATAGTCTTGTGCATGATGCAATGATAACAATAATGGTCAGTGATTTATAAAGGGAATAATAGTGTTGTAGTGGTTATGCTGAATATAATAGGTACATGATGTCACTACTTTATAGCTAATCTAGTAATACTATGCTGTCTTGAGTTTATTCTCTTTAAAATGCATGATTTAACAAGATAGTTATAATGGCTGTTGGTAAATGGTTTTGGTTGTCTTGATGTACTTGCCCTATTAAATTTAATCTAAATAGCCAGAATGTATTTAATTAGACCTTAAACGGCTCACACCGACACCCCCCCCCACCCCAAGCTGGAAGGGGTCGCTTCACTTACCTGTAACTCAAAGGGGCCCCGCCAATCTGAATAAAGCCTAGGGCCCGGAGTTAATCCGGCCCTGGACTTGCGCTTGTTTGCCGGGGTAACTGAGGCTTGTTAAGTCTGTGCCAGAAGACTTCTCCCAGGGGTGCAGTGTCCGGACACCCACTAACAGCTCGCCTCGATAGCCACTCACTACTGTTTGTCCAGTTCCTTGAATGGAGACCACCCACCAGCCTCACATACTCCATTTTCTTGGAGTAAAAGCGCCTACCCACCCATCTCGCTCCCAGCCTCGCCCAAGACCACCCACCACCCAAACCAACAACCCTACTCACTGTCTCCCCAAAGATTAGCCAACAAGTTTCTTTTATGAATTTCAACGTACTTTTCGTTAAAGAGGATGCCCCAGTAGGGACCTATTCCAGCTGTTACAGTACTGCCTTTATATCATAATCTTAAGACCTTTTATTAGTCAGGGATGACAACAGACTACTCAAATGACTTTATCTAGTTCAGACCTTTATAGGTCTTTCATAACAGACCACGTAGGTGGTATTATGTAGTTGAGGCTTGTATTGGCCTTTTATTTCTTCAATAGTAAAGATGTAAAAAATATATGCTAATAGAAATGATAATAAAAAAAAGTCAGCAAAATGCCCAATATCTTTTCACAAATTCTGATTTTTTAAAAGCAGTACAAAGTATACAAAGGTATGCATTTAAACAGCAAAACAAGATATTTTGAAACATTTATAAGACGGCAATCTTAATGACCATAATGGTTTAAATGGGCTTTAGACCCCATTAACCAACCTAGGCCGAGTGCAGACAGACCCAAATGGTTTATCCACTACACTGGCCTTTGACACTAGATACGAAATTATATATCTGTTCTTTTCCTGAATAAAGAGAGGGATAAATGTAATTACGTGGATCAAGAGCCCTTTACCAGCATTTAGATACTTTCACTCGCTTCCTTTTGAAAAGGTTCCTCTCTCTCTCTCTCTCTCTCTCTCTCTCTCTCTCTCTCTCTCTCTCTTTACACAGGGTTTGACAAGGTTAAGGATTCCTAGCTTTATTGACAAGCTATTTACAGGTTAAGGATTCCTAACTTTATTGACAAGCTATTTACAGGTTAAGGATTCCTAACTTTATTGGCAAGCTAAGAGCTGTTACCTACATCAGCTCATTTGAAAGCATTTTTATTGTTATGAGACATACAAGTAGGAAACAGGATGAAGTTGGAGCCATCTGTGGGCCAGCATTTTCATTTGATCAACTGACTTTATCTCGTTGACATCATATGCTGTACGAAGTGTTCCATACTTGAGTCATCCTGGGTATATTGATCTCAGATGGAGTGATGTTCTGGAGAAGGGTACAACCAGAGTGAAGTTGCTGCTTTCTGCCCGTCTTGTGGCATAAAAGCTTGTTTCACGCTGTCCTCGAAGTGGATCCAAGTGTGGTACTTTGACAATATTGGCCTTGTACATAACAGTAAAGCCACTACATCCCTCCTGTGTTGAAGGCTCTGCTGAAATGACAGATCTATCCAGGATGGGTCCAGGCGAGAGATGAGACCTCTTGCTCTGTTCTCTACTCTGTCAAGCAGTCGCAGATGAGAGGAGGGGGGGGCAGGCAAACCAAGAAAGTGCACCATACTCAAGGTGTGAGCGTACTTGTGCCTCGTACAGAATCTTGCAACCCCTGCTGTCAAGCAGATGCGAGATACGGCGAAGTGCTGTAAGCTTCCTGGCTGCCTTGTTTGCAAGATTTACAACATGGTTCTTCATGGTTAGTTTGGAGTCAAATTTCACCCCAATGATATCAACTTCTTCTCCAGGTGCCAACACCCTCCCATTCATCCTTACTACTGCACCAGCATTACCATCATGGTGCCTAGAGACGATCATCATTTGCGTTTTCTCAGGTGCAAATGTTACTTGCCATCTATTTCCCAAGCTGATATAGCTCTTAGCTGGTGATTGATGTAGCTTAGAGCAGCTGGCATTTCTTCTCTTGGATAAGTGAATGTCAGTGTACAGTCGTCTGCATATGCATGTGATTCTGGGATGAGATGAAGAAGGTCGTTGAATTAGACATTCTATAACAATGGTCCCAGCACGCTTCTCTCTCTCTCTCTCTTTCTATCTCTCTCTCTCAGCAGCCTTCGTGTATGGGAACACCTTACCTCTCCAGGCTCTGGTGTCAGCCCAAACCTGCTCTGGTCCATGTACATTCACGTCATTAAACTCCGATCCACAACTGTGTTTGAAACCTGCGCGGCCACACTTTAAGCTACCCAAGATAATCTGAGTTCACAATGGGTTCACAGTGGGTTTACAACTGGTTCACAATGGGTTTAGCACATCACCATAATAATAAAAACAGAAAACAGAAAGTCAGAGAGCAGTAACTCTTTACCTGGTATCTGGGTCCACAGATAACCAACAAAGAAGGAGCTGGTGATGAGGCTTTGTGTCCACTCGTCCCACTCAAACTCCCCGTCCTGCAACATTATCACTCAGGGTGAGCACATGTGGCGGTAATAGTGGTATTGTGTCAGTGCTGGAGCAGGTGATGGGCTGATGGTAGTGATGGTGTGAATGAATGGGAGCAGGTGCTGGAATGATGGTAGTGATAGTGTGAGTGAATGGGAGAAGGTGAGGGGGGGGAGCCATAATGTGGCAGTGTGTGAGTATGAGTAAGGTATGACAGCGAGTGTGAAGCTCCATTAGCATTCGATTTAAAGAAAGAGAACGAGCGAAGTGCTCGGAATATGAGATGTATTTTAATAAGTCAGTGCAGTTCTATGGACATTGGTGCATGCAAGAAAACAAGTATTTGATCAGCTACAAGTATATCAGTCCCGAGGAAAGACATATGAAACAACCCATTCAGGGAATTCCTTAAATGTTTTTAAATAACTCAAGAGTTACACAAATAACCCGCTCATAGAAGAGAGGAGCTTTCTTTGTATTTGACTGGCTCCTCCTCCTTACTTCCCCATTATCTTCTTCCTTCCATCTCCGCCACTACTACTACCACTTCTACTACTACTACCACTACCGCTTCCTGCCTATATAATATAAGTAATCATTACTTGCCTAGTATGGGCCAACAGGCCTGCTGCAGTGTTCCTCCTTTCTTATGTTCATTTTTTTTTATTTAAAAAACCCAAAACA